CGTGGTGCTATAAATTAACAGGACTCGATTTTTCGATTCTCTCCTAGCTTGTGTTTTTAGAAAATTTCTCTGATAAAGTATGAAAAAGCCAATGTGGGCAGGTCCAGAAAAGTTAGTTTCTTATAAACATTAATGAGGATATCGAAAAATCCAACTCTGTTAAGTGGTAGTACCACATTTTAGAATCAGCCAGAATTCTCGGCGGAAAAATCTGGGACGGACGGAAACGTAAAAATTAAAAATCCTATTTTGAGAAAAAACCTTATTTTCTTCTATGGGAGGCTCAGAAAAGTCTGTGTAATATCCTTAAATTTTATCATAAAATCAATAAACTATACTGCATTCGAAAACAGACATTTAGTTCTATCTAACGAGCTATAAATCACAAAATTGATATTTTTTCGGTGGAGCCCTTAAATATTCAGCTATTGTCTGTACGGATTATTATACAACAAACAAATTCACTATGCTATTTATCAAATTTCATATTACTTTATGTTATAGAATTAGTAGTCTATATCAAAAAATATGGATGAAAATGTTATTCGATTGTATAAAGTTATCTTGAACTACAATTCCGAATCAATGAGTATAGTTTTTCGATCATTTTGTTTAAGAATACTTGATATTCCATTAAAATATAACTTAAGTTCAAGAACACAAAAAAAAAAGAATCTTTCACAGCTATTATAAAACCTTAAAATGATTTCATTTAATAAGCTATGTCTAATTCTTTTAGGTCATATCTATTCATTATTTGCTTGGGATGCATGTAATTTTGTATCAGCTAGTCAAGATGGTACATCACGTGTATGGGATATTCGTCAACCTGATTGTATTAATGTTATTGCACCTCGTCCTTCAAGTATAAATAGAATCTTTTTTTTTCTCTTTTTATTTCAAATTTATTTATTTATTTATTTTTTGTATTTAATAGACAGTCCAGTAGCATCTGTTGCTGTTGATAATTCTGGACAATTATTAGCAGCTGGTTATGAAGATTCATCATGTTTACTTTATGATCTTCGTGGAAAACGTCCTGTACAAGTTTATCAACCACATTCAAATGAAGTTCGTAGTGTTCGATTTTCTATACATTCATATTATTTACTTACGGCTTCCTATGATACAAAAGTTGTCATGACAAGTTTAAGTGGTAAGATAAATTTGAAATATATATATGTATATATTTTATTAAATTTTTATTTTAGGTGATCTAACTAAACCACTTGTTCTATCAAATGTTGCTGCACATAATGACAAAATAATTCAAGCACGATGGTAAATATATTTTTATTTTTACTATAGAAATTTAATTATATGTTTTGTTTAGGCATCCACATGAAATGTCATTTATAACGACAAGTGCTGATCGTACATGTATTGTTTGGGCACCACCTCTTTCAGCTTTATCGACACTTGCTCAAACGCCATAATCAAATCTAAAGTTTAGTTTTTTTTTTCTTCGTTTTTTTTTGTGTTTTGATCTCAGTTGCTTTTTTTAGTATTTTTTTTTTCTGCTTTTGTAATTTAATTCAAACAAAACTTAATATCAATTATTTACAGACAAAAAAACAAACATAACAAGCCACAAAATAATTTTCTTTTTTTTTTTTTTTTTTTTGTCATAGTATTAGTTTGTGGAGATAAAAGAAAATTTTCGAAAAATAATTCGCAAATGTGCTGATATATAAATCTATTTGTTTTTATTCAATTAATGTATATTTTTTTTTTTTCTTGTTTGGTCTTCTTTCTTTTGTTTTGACATAAGATAAATATAATAATAATTATTTGATTGTATTATTTTATTTTATCATAAAAAAAAAAAATAATAATCGATTAATTAAGATTAAAAATTTAATCTGTGAAAAATTTTAATTAAATTTTTTATTTCATTTTTATTTTTGTTTTATTGAAATATTAATACAATTTTGATATGAAAAAAAAAAAAAGAAATTGTTTCTTTACAGATGTGTTTTTGATAAAATAATGTTTTCAAATTAGATTTTTTGCTTAAAGATGATCAAAGAATTTTTTTCATTGTATAAATTTTCAAGAGCTGTTAAAGATAACGATGTACACCGTCTCCTTCTTACTCCGCGCTCTTGTAGATGCTCACGTGCTTCGTACGCTTCAATCTTTTTTTTTTGCTCGATAAACACGTTTCGAAAGCACACAATCAGTTCTTCTGAGTTTTGCCAGCCTGCTTCGAATCATGAGATGGCACCACATATACCCTGTAGAGATTTTCGTAACGCTGCAGGAGTGTGTCTTAGAGAGGGTAACATTTCCATGGATCTCTGCTTAATGATTTTATTATCTGAATTGATTAAATCTGTCAGAGTCTTTAATTCCGTATTTGACAGTACAATCAACTTTTTATATGGATATATTGCTCGATTACTTAATTCCAGATGTCACTTACATTTTATTATGATCTTATGTCACAGCCCTGTCGGGCTTTGTATATTTTTCTTAAAATGACTAGTATTCCATTTCAAGCAAAAGAAATTGCATTACGAAAACTTCAACATATGAGTGATGAATATATTCAAATAAATCCATTTAAAAAAGTACCAGCTATTAATGATTCAGGTTTTATTCTTACTGAAAGGTAATCTCAAATAAACAAACAAAAAAATAATCATAATCAAAAAAATGTTTTTTTTTAATTTTTAGTGTAGCAATTTTAACATATCTTTGTAATAAACATAAAAAATCTAATTGGTATCCAACAGATTTACATGAACAAGCACGTGTAAATGAATATACTCATTGGCAACATTTAAATTTACGTTTAACTGGATCAACACTTTTTCAAACAAAAGTACAAAAAAAAATCAAACTATTCCTTATATGACAACTTCACGATATTCGTTGTTTGTTTTTTTTAGGTGGTTATACCAGCTATCAAAAAACAGCCACCAACGGATCATGAATTAGAAAAATGGCATAAAAGATGGCAAGGATCAACTGATGGTCTTGAAAATGTTTGGCTTAATCGTTCATCTTATTTAGCTGGTAATCATATAACTATTGCTGATTTACTTGGTAAATTTTTTGTTGATTATCATAATTAAATAATATCATTAAAAATTATATGTAATAGGTATTTGTGAAATGATGCAACCAATAGCTGCTGGTTATAATTTAGATACAAAGAAATTTCCTCGTGTTCAAGATTGGATGGAACGAGTTAAGAAAGAAACTCAACCATATTTCGATGAAGTACATGTTGTTTCAATGCGTTTGAGAGAAAAAATTTTAAAAGAAGAAAAACAAAAGATTTATTGATTATGAATTTTATATTAATTGATATTCATTCTTTTTTTCTTGATTATACTGCAATAGAGAAGTCTTTCGGTTTGTTTTTTTTTTGGCTCAACTTTATGATTAATAAAATAGAGATAGTTATTTTCAAAGAAGCTGATTCAAAAAAAAAAATTTATAATTCTATATTGAAGAAAATAGCTTAACATGTATTTCTATTAAAGATAATAGTGGCGAGGGACCCAAGGGAGTGTTCTCGCAATCGAGAAAAGCTATCGTTTATCTCCAGCGTTTTATTGTTCACCGATTCCTAAAAAAAAATTACGTAACTGCATGCTCAAAATTCAGTCAACTTTAGCAAGAACTTTGTGATAGACTTCCGGGATTATCGACCTCTCTCAATCCTGGACACCTCTGAATAATGGAATTCATGATGAATTATTGAAAAAATTACATTAACATTTACACAAAATAATCTATTCATCCGATATTGTATCATCTTTTCCAAATCAAACTAATCGTTCATTTGTTTGTAATTTTTCATTTTTAGTATTATCTTCCAAATCTCAGTAACAATATTTTTCAAATAAAACAAAAGATATCTATGAATTCGAAAAAATTTTAAGTTATATTTAGTACTTCCGTTTGCAAGATTTTGTCGAAAAAAATATATTTGAAAATTTTGATTACTATTAATTTTCTCATCCATCTGAAGAGTTCATTAATTTATTCTCAATTTGAGAACATTTAGCAATAAAAAAAAGTATAATCTTTCAATAAAAAACTATTAAAATAAAAGAAATTGATTACTTTGTACTTTCAAAGATCAATAGTAAATTCTATAATTATACAGGCCTTTAATGATATGAATGGCTTTTGTGTATTCATTATTTTCAATGCTTTCTAGTTGACACATCTTCTCTCTCTTTTCCTTTGCTCGTCTTGTGTTTATACGATAGGATCGACAGGCGATGGACATAATTGCAATTTGATTCATTTGGTATATGGAAGCATTTATATATATATATACCCAATGTTAGAAAGAAACATATATACATATATTAATTGTTGGCGAACACATATGTCATAACGGAAACGTTTCTTCTTTTTTTTTTTTTTTGAAAAAAAAAAATCTTCAAGGCTTGATTGATGATTATTAACATTAGAAAAGATTGTACATTTGCATAATCAGAAGCCACTAAAAATTTGTCGTCTGCTTCTCGAGAAGAGAAGAGATGGAGTTTTTTTCTTTTTTTTTTTTTTTTGTTGCTTTTTGGAACGAATAAGAATTCTCTAAGAATCTAACCAATGAAAAATTGATCCGTTCTGTAGATTTCTATCAAAAAAAAAAAAAAAAAGAAAAGAACATTGTATATATTAAAGAGAAAAAGAAAAAGGTAGTACGTAGGAGAAAGAAAAAAAAAAGAACAAATCAAATTATCTATCGAAAAAGAACGATTCACACATATATACACACATAGACACATATATTGTCAAAAGAGCATATAACATCAACAAGAAAAATACTTGATTAATTGTTCGAACGGAAAATATAATCATATATATATTTTTCTTTTTTACATTCTCATCATACAAATATTAAAAACTAATAATATATTAGTTAAAAGGAAGACGAGACAATAATTTGATTTGTGGTGAGTATAGTAGGTTTATCATTATTTTGAGATTATTCAAAATCAATTTTGTTTTTGCTTATTTTTTTTTTAAGTATGTTATTACCACCTTATTGGACATCTATTGAAAATTCATCATCATCATTTAATGATATTATGTTATCAACAGCAACAACATCGAATCAACATCATCAACCAAATTTTTGGTTTTCTAATAATCATTTACCATCATTTTTTTCATCATCAACAACAGGAAATGGAGGAATAGATAAACATTCTTATATACAACAGACAACACCAATAAATAAAAATCTTTTTGATACAAATCCATGTAGTTCAAATTCAACACATTCACCACCATTAACAAATGATTTTCTTCTTACACGTTCAAATCCAGCAGCTTCATTAAATTTAACACAATTTAATTATATTCAACAAAATCATCATCATCATTTATCATCAAATAATTTTCTTCAACGAGATGATTGGTCACAAATACCAATGACACAAACAACAAATTCTTCAACTTCTGCTGCTGCTCTATGGGCAAAAGGTAAGTTTTTTTTTTATTGTTTTGTTTCTCTCTTACATCAAAATCATTTATATGCCATCCTATTCTATTTATAAAAATAGAAGAGAATGAGGTTGCTCAATACCTCATATATATATATATATATATACATATACATTCATCCATCTATTCAGTATTCTATGTCTTAATGGTTATTCGATGATTGGAAGGATGATTTATAATATTTGTCGCCGGCACATTACATCTGCTTGAGCTCGTTTTTTATGCAATACAAAAAAATCATGACAATATATTTCCGTTTTTTCATCAAGTGACATTTTTTAGCTTCATCTATCAAGTAACATTTGAATGAATATGGACATCCTATTATTTTCTTTTGACGATTCACAGAGAGAGAAGACAATTTGTCATTTGAGGAACAAAAGAATAATCTCATCAACAATTTTAAAATAGTGTGTATTAGTAGAAACGATCTCTGTTGTTTTCTTTTCTTTGCGTGACAAATATACATATCATTCTTGTTGCTCAATTGATTTCTTGACACATTATTATTGGTTAAACTTTCGATTTTTTTTTTCCTCTATTTTAAACACCTTATATTTGATACATATGTATGAGTGTCTTTTTAATGAGATCAACACATATTTAATGAGCAACAAATGACAAGTTTTTTTTTTTTTTTTTGCTGACGAATCAATAACACATAATATATTCGTGATCGGAAGAAAAAAAAAACAAAACAAAAATAAGATAAATTAATTGAAACGAGTCTAGAAGGTGAAACCAATGAGCCGAAACATCTTGTAAGAGAAAAAAAGTCAAGAACGAAATGCAAATCATATTGTGTCATATTGAAAATATGTCGGCTTCGTTCTTAAAAGAAAATTTATCTTTCAATATATTGTCAATGAGCCATCATATAGTACACAAAAAAAAAAGAACATTGATCTACTCGTTCGAATACATAATTAGATTTTATTAGAGAATACGCTTCATTGCATGTCTATATAATGTATGTGATACAAAAATAATTTAATATTAGTGAAGGTAAATGATTATTACATATCGACATAGACACCATTAAAATAAAGGAGAGAAATGCACGACATCATTTTAATTCGTAAGGTATGTGTATGCGCGCATACATACACACACACACACACACTAAATGAATAGCAAACGAAGAAGAAAAAAAAAAACACAACAAGGATACATATAAATATAATCTATGATAAAAAACAAAAAAGAAACTTTTCCACTGTCATAATATCTAATTGATAATCATATATATATGATGATCGATTGAAAAATGATTTTGCCGGTATACCATGAAATTGTCATCAAACATATATACTCAAAAGCGCATCCACTCGAAATTAAGATCGATGTTTATGAATGCACATATGACAGACAATGGCATCATCAATGTGTGAACATGCACATGCCTTTTTTGTTTTTTGATCCCATTCTCAAGTATATTTACAATATGTATATATGGATATTAATAAAGCGTAGATTCTGATTGCTTTTTTTTGTTTCTTTATTTTAATAATAAACAAATAATTTCTGATTGATAAATTTAGGTGTTCCGATTGATAATTCTCAAATAGCACATTATTCTGATATTGTTAATGGTAATGAATCCATAAAAGATGCTAAACGTAAAAGTAGTCGACCGACATTTACTGGTCATCAAATATTTGCATTAGAAAAAATGTTTGAAAATACAAAATATTTAGCTGGAACAGAACGTTCAAGATTAGCATCTCAATTAGCTATGAGTGAAGCACAAGTGAAAGTAAAGAGATTTTATACAAAAAAAAAATGATTCGATGTTTTCTTTTTTTTTAGGTTTGGTTTCAAAATAGGTATAAAATTTTCAAAGTCTGTTTTTTTTTTCTATTAAATATTTTTTCTTTTTTTTTGAGACGTACAAAATGGCGAAAAAAACATGCTCCTGAAATTCATGCAGCAACTGGTAGTAAAAGAACAAAACAACGAAATGATGGATCAATACCTAATCTAGAATCGGATTCGAGTTTAACTTAATTTTTCTCTAGATGTTGTTTTGTTTTGTTTTTTTTTTATTTTAGTGTTTGAGTTATATGTGAACGAAAAGAAAAAAGAAAAAAGAAAAAAGTTTATTCTGTACATTTTCTCTCTTATTCGCGAAATTAAAATTGTTTTTTTTTTGTACGTGCTTGTTTTATATCATTACTTGAATATCCTAGAAAAAAAAAAAAAAAGGAATACGATTGTTTAATATATTAAAACAAAATATATCAATTAGATCCGTTATATCAGAAGATGAATGAATAAATAACTTGTTGTTTTTTTTTGATTTTTAATTGGATGAAATGAAAAATAAAATATTGCAGACACATCATTTGATTTAAATCGAAATTTTATATTGATTCTGTTCAACCAATGATCATTCGAAAATATGAAGATAAGTGAATGTTTATTATCTTCTTTTTAATTTTATGAATCATGAACGAATGGAATTTATTAGAAGGTAGACTATTGTACGTATTAACATCAAAGGTTTTAATCGATTACAACATTTATATGGTGTTATAAGTATTGTTTTTATATTGATGTTCAAGCTTTTAATTTCTCATCAATATAACAAAAGAAAATGATCCCGATATTACAACATAGATGTTGTAATCGAGCAGATGTTTATACGTATGCTACTAAGGTAAGGGAAAAAAAGTTCGGAGAATTTTTTCTATAAATTATATCATAAGATGCAGTGTGAAAAGCTCTACAATTTATATAAGACATCTTTGCTTAAAGTTGCACTTTTTGTTTTCAAAAACAATCAAATTCGAAGTAACCAAATTTCGATGCTGCGAAATAGACTTTTTCATACATGACGGATTTTTTTATGTGATCTTTTCACTTTTTGTAAATTTTGAAAACAAAAAGTGCAACTTTGAGCAAAGACGTCTTATGTAAATTGTAGAGCTTTTCATGCTGCAACTTATGACATAATTTATAGAAAAAATTTCTCTATTTATATCGATAGAAAAAATTCTCCGAACTTTTTTCCCTTACCTTACAATAGTCTTTGTAACTATGAATTAAAGCCTGGCACCCCATCAACGCTTTGTAAACAAAAAAGAGGAGAAAAAGAGGCATACGTTATCAATATAGATTGAATATGACTTGAAAGAGTAAAAAAGAAACGAAACTTCCAATTGTTCATAGAGATTTTTGTGCAATTGATTATGTATGCATTAGAAAGCGGGAAAATATTAGAAAAATAGTCTATTCCATTTGCGTAGTATCTGACTATAATATTACTCTATCTGACTAAGTAGACATACAGAAATAGAAACGATCAGAATTCATTAAATGTTCTTTTTTTTTGCTTTTTGTTCCTTTTTTTCGGATGACTGTGCATGTGAGAAAGGTATTTTTTCGTTTTTTTTTCAATTTTCAGCAATTTTTCCATGATACAGCCGGTTTGTGAGGAATCGTTTGACCCCGTACTATCGAAAATGCTTGATTTTTTCTAATGAAATATAGTCATCTTCTTGTGTTCTCTAGAAAACGACTTATTTGTATTGGATAGATTGTATGATCTCTTGGTTTTTGGCCAGTGGAGCGCCCCTGTTAGTTGCTATCGCATTCTATCATATCCGACTTCTTCTAAGTATCATAAAACCGTTGTCAATATTAATCCATGTCAAGCGAACACGCTTGTAATCGGAGAAATACGGCGTTTCACATCATCCCGTATTGCGATCGTATAACTCCGTGATTATATGCATCGAAATGCGATCGTTTATGGACAAACAAAGCTCGTCTACGGTTTTCGTTTTACTCTGTATTTCTTCGTATACAGTTTAGAGATATACGATCGTGCAAAATGTGATTGTGTATGTAGAAACTTGGAAGGTGAGGAATTACTTTATTCTGACAGTAAATCAATCGCGTAAGGTAATCTAGCAACATACCATGGCATCTGTAATCAACCTAGTAATTTTGAAGAAGCAGATATTGCTAGATACAACATGAAAACTTTTATCGGTATCTGATAAGCAGAAATCTTCAATTTATGACATTATACTATCAGAAGCTATATTGTCGAAGAAATCCTATCGAATCTGACAAGATTCTAGGATAGGTCTAGCCACCCTGGAAACTTTTTCTTATTTTGACGCATGCGTTACTCCACGAGTTAGCTATCCATTGTTAGATTCACATCACAAGCTTTCCTGGGGCTGAGAAAAATGGTCAAGAAAAATAAGCTCGATATTATCATTTCACATATCGATCTTAACCAGAAAACCTTGCCAAAATTGTGAGAGAATGATAAATTCACATTGGAAATATAATTGAGTAATTTTGCCTCCACTAGAGAGCTATAAAAATTGGGTACCAATTAGGGATATATAACATTGCTGAAGTTGATCACTGAAATCATATAATTTAGCCTTCTTAGCTATACACCTTGACTGATGCGCACATCAAATTGTGTTATATGATCTTTTTGTATGATATGGTAATATTAATCAATATATTCATAGATGTTTTCTCCAACAAACTATTTTTTCGTGAGAAAACAGGAAAAAGCGGCGGAGTGGAATGCTAGACTAAAGTAAAAGGTATAAATTCAGAATCTTCAAAATAATTTGTTAAAGCTATACAAATAATAACAATTTATTTTAATTCATTAGACAAAAATTGACGATACTTTTAATATTTCACTAATTTTTTGCTATTAAATAATTATATTTTGAAACCTTTATATCTATTATTCGATACAAAATTGGATAGAATACTTTTGAGTAAAAATTAAGTATTAATTATACTTATTTATTGAAAACAGAAAGATTCTGTTGTCATGTTCACTTTATAAATACATCATTCGCAAGAATATAAAAAACTGAAGAAAATGTAATAGAACTTTTATGTGAATGATAAGAGCTCTGGATCGGATTTTTGGAGTTACATCAGTTAAAACGGTCAAATATTTTTATTCTTCATATGTTAATTAATGAACAAATATCATTAACAAGTAGTACAAAAAGAAGCGTATATGCTAGTCAAAAAAAAATTTGTTTTCGTAGTTTTCTCGAGTCGAAGTCGGATTTCGATATCAAAAAGTTTGACTCTGAAGAGCTTTAGTCTCAGTATAGAGACTTTTGCTTTTTATGAGTAATTACTACATAAGATTAAAAAGTTTCATTTGACAGTATAAATTCTGTTTTAGAAAAAAAAAATTATATCTGAATTTTTAAACAAATATTATATATTAAAATTATTAAGTTATTAATAAAGTTTAGTAGTAAACATTACTATTTTGATTATCACTATACTAACTCAAACCATTTTTACAAAAAACCGAAAATTATTTTCGTTTTTCTCGAAACGTGGGTTCAACAACGTGGCGCCACCAGAACTCTATCATAGTAAAAAGATAAAGTCAAATATTTTTCTTTTAGTTTGAAAGCTTGTATCTAGAGTTAGTGCACCCTCATGACCCATTTTTTAAAAAAGTCTTTTATTATCACAAAAGAAAATACCTCTATAAAAACAGCGCCATTTTTTTTAAGAAGTTTTTTGAGTCATCAAACTTGTCGTCTCTTTTCTTCGCTTAAAAAGTAAGAATTTAAAAAAAAGGCGACGAGAAGGACTAGTCCTAAGTACAAACTTTTAAACAAAAAAACAATTAAATATATAAAACGAAGGCCGACACAGAAATCTTGGAGATACGATAGAGCTATTTTTGACTCTCGTTTGATGAATATCTCTGTCAACATCATGATATAGGTTTGAAAATTTTACTATAGGCATCGCTCATCAATCCCAACATATCCTAAAAGTTTCATGAAATTTGAATGTTCCTGGACTGAGATCGATTTTTGAGGGGGCTGTCACAACAAATCATTTTGAACAAAATTTTCTCAGAGAATTTTATTTAAATACATTTCGCATAGTATATTTCACGGCATCTTTTAATATTCTATATTTTGACTTTTTGGTTAATCTCATTTTCTGATCAAGATAATATCGATCGGTTAGAAATAGAGTTATGAAAAAAAAATTCTAAATAAATTCTCCGATGAAGTATTGTGAAATTTTCGAGTTGTCAGAATGAAATAACACTCATCATTCTAAAATTTCTCTCATTGAAAGAAATCATTTAAAATTTTGTTTCACAGAACTATGATTAGAATCGTTTAATTTGTGTTAGAAATCTTCCTAAAGTTCTTCGAATAATAATATTGTAATTTCTAAATTCAATTGAATAATTATAACTATTCAGTTTTTCTTAGTTTATTAATTTTCTTTTTTTTTGTTATGAAAAATTTTTCTTCTACAGTTTTGAAATAATTCCAATAAAATGTTTTTCAAAAATCAAACACACTCAACAATATTACTATACATTCAAATATTATTCAGTTTTTATTGATGATTCAAATCGACTTTGAGCTTCTTTTACTCGTTTAATTTTTTCTTGTTTTGATAAAACAGGCATTGCTCGATTATTAAGAATAAGTGTTATAATACTGAATAATGTTTCAAATGTAATTAATGTTAAACTAATAGCTGAGAGCAGAATTTCTACACGTTGTGTATATGATTGTAAAATAAGAAAGAAAATAAAACCAATTATAGAAAAAAATCCATATAAAATAAAAATAATTAAAAGAATAGATTTTAACATTAAATTTCCTTTCATACCAAAATATTCTCGAAGAAATTCATTTAAACATAACATAAATATAATTGCCATTTCTAGACCAAATGCACTTGTTGCATATGGTAGATGATAATATTTAAAAATAAAAAGAGAAATTTCAAGAATAAACCAAAATATTGTATAATGAATATTTATATATAAAAGAATTTGAAGAACAGTACTCGATTGATCAGAAACAGTGAGAAACATTGGTTTGGTTTTTTTTGTTTTGTTCTTTCTGAAATATAAATTAATTAATTTATATCTTAATCGTATAAAAATGATGCTAAATAATATTCGATTAGTTATTTTCTATAAAATAAATTACAGGATTGTATAAAAAAAAGTTGTTAGAGGAATCTTTGCAAGATTAAAATATAATATTCTCTAGAAATACAATAAGGAAGCAATTCATATATAATAATGAGACGTTATTGATATCAACAATTTCTATTAAGTCCATGGGGAGCTGTCGGCCCACGTTTTTATAGACCAGGACACGAAAAAAATTAAAAATTTGGACCTGGACTCACGAGGGGAGGTCACCAACTGATCAATCGCTTTTGAGTCGGAACTATGTACATCATGTAGGTCCTAATGAGCTATGAATATCCTGAAAAGAGTTCGGGCCGCTAGCTTATTACTGTCGAGATACTGCATTTTTACGATACTTTTAAGCAAAATGCCGTGGTCTCCCTTAGGAACACCAGCAAAATTGAGTTTTGAATTTCGACTTGAAGTTTGGCACAGAAACAGATCTCAATGAGAGTAGCTTATTGTGAAAGTTTCAGATCTTTTAGTTGTTCCTATTCTGAAATAAGAATATTGGAACCCGTCGGGGGTATACGAGCAGTGTAAAAACACCCTTTTTAGCTTTATCTTAGAATAGGAACAACCAAAAGATCTGAAACTTTCAAAATAAACTACTCTCACTGAAGCCTGTTTCTGTGCAAAGTTTCAAGTCAAAACTCAGTTTTTCTGGTTCCTGAGGGGAACCACAGCATTGTGCTTAATTAAAAATATCACAAAAATGCAGTATCTCGACAATAATAAGCTAGCGGCCCGAACTCTTTTCAGGGTATTCATAGCTCATTAGGACCTACATGATGCACATAGTTCCGACTCAAAAGCGATTGATCAGTTGGTGACCTTTCGTCGTCAGTCGAGTCGGAACGGACCCGAACCCGAGGTATTTCCATCAATACATGTCACCCTTCGTATACATGAACGAGTAAAGGATCAAGGAATTAGCGATTTATTTGCTATTCTCTGAAAAAAAATTCAACGTACAGTTATATCTTGTTGCTCTATCTCTCATCTGAGGAGCAGTGAATTCACAAAAACGTGTAACTGAGTCTAAAAAAAAATAAAAGATTGGACCTGAAAAAAATAAAACTTTGAATCCAGGCCTGGAAGGATCTGCAGCTTCCTAGCGGTGGGTCCAAATTTCTACCCCTATATATCAACAATCTTTTATAATCGTATTTCATAAAATGAACTTGGAAAGTTTTTTTTTCCACATATTATGAGCCAATGAATGCATTCTAATCAGATTCTTCAGGACTGTACATATTTTATTTATATATGATTTCATAAAGATTGCTTTCTGATTCTAATTTAACATAGAAATCTGAATGTAGAAAAATATTGTTTAATTAAATTTAAGATTAATAATGTATAAAATTTTATCTGTAATAGATTATCTTAGAACATGTGTTTATAGGCATTTGGATAAATCTATCTTATATTTTGTAAGAGAAAATGTCTTATCTCATTAGAATTCTCAGATCTTGAGTCACAAAAGTACTTATTTTGTTTTAATCTTGAGATAATCAAATATTTTCTTAAATTTTTTGATAAAAAAAAATGACTCTGTATTTGTCAATTTTTATTCTCATAATTCAATTAAATGGTAAATATATAGTCAGGATGAAAAACTACATTGGATCCGATATATTTTAACAAAAAATATTTGCAACGAAAAGTCAATCCTAGCGAGACCACACACGAAATTTTCGAAAAAAATTAAATGCTGGGCCCGAGTATAAGCGTATTTGTCATAGAAAATAAGTTAGGTTAAAATATATATAAACCGATGTAGTTTTTTATTCTGATTCCGAATTTACTATTTATTTTACATTTGAATTGAGCTATGAGAACGAAAACTGGAAAATACAGAGTCACTCTTTTTTTATCGTTTTGTCAAAAAAAAGAAAAATGAGAGAATATTCAATTATCTCAAGAATAAAACAAAATAAATGCTTTTGTAGCTTGAGAACTGGTGAGAGACATTTGATCTTATTTTTTTTTTTGTCATAATAAAAATACTTTTAGAGCATTTAGAAAGAATCAATAATAAAAGCTAGAGATCATTTTAAAAAAGTTATAATCATTACGAAGTTTCATTAATAAATTCTCTATGCTGAACTATCGCAATTATCTATTCATTTGACAAAGTAAAAGACGGAAGGATTATACAAAAATAAGAGCGGTTGATTTTTTGCTGATGATTTATTCCAAAAATGATAATATTATCATCTCTTTCTTTACCTTACAATTTTGTTTCTATTTAAATAGAAAATTCCAAATCAGAAAATCTTCTTTCGAAACAAACGAAAATCACTAAACAACTAGACGTGCCATTATAAGTTACATCTCTAAGGTTATGCCGCTTTCAACAATTCTCTATACAACGCCATCTGTTCGATTCCAGTTATTATATTTTGTATTTTCTGATTTGTTCAGTCCCGATAATCAGCATATCAGAAATAAAAGAATATTCATCTTTATTTGTGTATATATATATATATATATATATATTATTAATTTTAATTCTTATTCGATATTTATGTTATCATTGTTTTCCAGAAAACAATTCAATGACTGAATTTAAATATTGAATTACAAAATTATGAGCAAGTCTACAAAATGAGTTGTTTTCATAATTTTTCTTGAGTTATTATTGTTTGTTTGTTTTTTTTTGTTTGTATTATATACTTAATATTTTTCATATTTAAACAATAATTTAGAACTAGGAAAAAAATTTGTTTTTTAAATTTTTTTCCTGATTCAACGTTCCAAATGATAATTGTAAGTAAAAATCATATACGCAAAAATTCACATACGATGATTTTTATTTGCTGATTAATTTCGCTGATAACTAAAATAAGTAATCATTTCTTTTAATTTTATGCTTGAGTGGGCTGGGACAACAAATTTTTTTTACGACCTATGAAAAATAATTTATTAACCTAGACAGGAGTCTTGCTTCCTACGCTTGCATGTAATTAAATTCTTATATTAATGATTCTCAAAAAAAAAAAAAAACATATTTTTGATTTTGTTCACATCACATTCCAGATTCAAGCAAAAAACACGCTCTATTATTTTCAGTAATGAATAAAATTTGTTTGCTTGCATTACGTCGTAGTTATGCAACAACATCAACATCAACATTTCGTGCTGCTGATACAATAATAAAAAAAACTGAACATGGAAATCCAAAACCAGATCCGAATAAACTTGTTTTTGGTGCAAATTTTTCGGATCATATGTTAACAATAAAACATACAAATGCATCCGGTTGGGAAAAACCAGTAATCGAACCATTAAAACCTTTTTCTATTCATCCAGCGGCAAAAGTTTTACATTATGCTATAGAAGTAAATTATTCTTATTTATTTGAAAGAATTTTTTATTCTTTTTTTTTTTGTTTTAAAGATTTTCGAAGGCTTGAAAGCTTATCGTGGTAATGATGGAAAAATACGTCTTTTTCGACCTGATTTAAATATGAAACGAATGCTTACATCAGCTGAACGAAGTGTTTTACCAGTATGAATTAATATTGAAAATATTCATTTGATATATTATATATATGTGTAGATATTCGATGGAAATGAACTTTTAGAATGCATAAAAAAATTAATTCAAGTTGATGCTGATTGGGTACCAAGATCAACTTCAAGTACACTTTATATTCGACCAACTTTAATTGGTACTGAAGTATGTTTTAGAACTTTTTTTTTATTTTTGCGAAATTCAAAAACAAACAAATTTATCTTTTAGCCAACATTGGGTGTTGGTGCTTCAAATGAATCATTATTATTTGTCGTTACCGGTCCCGTTGGTCCTTATTTTCCAACTGGTTTTAAACCTGTTTCATTACTTGCAGATACGTTCCATTGTCGAGCGTTTCCAGGTGGTGTGGGTGCATATAAAGCTGGCTCGTAAGAAATTGAACTTAACTCTTTTCTTTCTCAATAGTATCTATAGGTGCCACCCCTTTTTTTTTAAAGTTTCATTCTCTTGAGTTATAACACATAGAAAAACTAATTTTATGCCAAATTAAGATATCGTTGGACAGAAATACGAACACTAGAGGAAAATGTTTACACAATATCACAAGAAGAGAACGTGTCAAAAATAACTAAATGTAAAGGAGACGACACCTATATGTAGGTCATACTTGTTATCTGTACGGCATAGTAGAAAGGAAGACCGAAAGGAAAAAATATTCAACGCAAGTGAATCATTCTATAAAAGAGACAAAGGAATATGTTTATTACAGTGTAGTGTCATTCTGCACAGTATCGATATGGGTGTGGATGGAAGTATTTTCTTCATTCATACCTACAGGTACATCCTTAAAAAAGTTAATTATTTTAGTACTTAACCGATATAATTCAAACTTTTCGTATACATATTAGAGACTATTGTGAGCACAATGCTGGACGAATTTTAGTTCGTGAACTTTAAACTTTGACCATGGGAAAGAAAGAATTAATTGATTTCTTTTTTTCAAAATCAATATTATTTTATAGCAATTATGGACCAACAATTTATGTGAATCAATTGGCTCATTCAAAAGGATGTCAACAAGTATTATGGCTTTATGGCGATAAACAACATATTACAGAAGTTGGTACAATGAATGTATTTATGTATTTGAAAAATAAAAAAGGAGCTAATGAATTAGTTACACCACCATTGAATGGACTTATTTTACCTGGTGTTACTCGTCAAAGTATTTTGGATCTTGGACGTACATGGGTAAGATTATATTAACTAAATTCAAATAAATATTTGTTTGTTTGTTTTTTTTTGTCTTTTAGAAAGAGTTAACTGTTTCGGAACGAGAAATAACAATGGATGAACTTTTAGAAGCACATCGAGAGAATCGAGTATGATTTTATAAACTATAGATTAGTTCTCTTTAAATTTTATTGATTATTTTAGCTTTTGGAAATGTTTGGTGCTGGTACAGCATGTATTGTTTGTCCAGTTGAACGCATTATTTATGAAGGAAAAGAATATAATTTGGCAACAATGAACAAAGGTTTATCTTAATTTATTTCATATTCTTATTTCATTTAAATTATTAATCTAGGAGCTCCGTTAACAATTCGATTTCATGATGAACTTGTCAATATTCAAGTAGGAATTATTTTCTTTTTAAATTAGAATTCTTTTTTTTTGTTTTTTCAATTTAGTTTGGTCGAAAACCAAGTAAATGGACAGTTGATGTTGTTTAAAAATCTTTCATTTGCATTTTATAAACAAAGCTTTTGATCTTTACCTATATGGTAATAAAATCTCAACCAATATCCTGGTTATATTGTGTTTTTTTTTCTCCTAATACTATTGAACACATTAAAAACATTGTTTATGTTTTTTTTTTCTTCTTTTATCTCAGTATTTGATGAAATAAAACACAAGAGAATGACCGATTGATATATATATATATGTCGTTCTATAGTTGTGACTTTTTTTTTCCAGATCATTATGCATTCTTTATTTCTATTAGTTTATCTTTTTTTACAAATTTTTGTTGTATTTTGTTCACAACCAAAACGTGTTGTTGATCGAATGTATATATCATTTGATCGTGCACGTTATTGTGTTCGTCGTCTTAATGGTACACATGAAATTGGTTGTCAATCATCAATACGAGGCAATTCTGGTCGAATGTATATGATTGATAATGATCAAGAATTTCATATATATCTTACAGATAAAAAACTAATTGATTCATTTAATTCATTTATTATTGTACTTAATGTAAATTTATTTAATACATATTATATTGATTATTTAATGAAACATCTTGATAAAAAATTAAATGGTCTTTTACTTTATTTAAAATCAAATTTATCTCGTCCATTAGATTTTTCACATGATGATCAATGTCCAAATAATCGTAATTCATTTTATTTAAATCAAACAGAAAAAATTAATTGGAATTCAAAAGGAACTAGTTTATTTTTTCGTTCATTTCCATTTCCAATAATGTTAATTGATGAAGAAGATGATTATAAACGTTTAATTGAATTTTATCGACAATTTAATAATAGTCAATCATCACCTGCATGTGGTTTAGAATTAAAAGCATTTCAAAATGCAGCACATACAACAAAAACATGTATGACAAGAAATGATATATCACATTCATTAATTGATCTTCAAGAAATATTTTGTGATCCAATTGGTGGTTTAAATATTTATAGCAAATTACCTCAATCGATTAAAATTAAACCTGATCAACGTTCATTAAAATCAGTTATACTTATTTTAGTAACTACAGATAGTTTTCAAATGTTTTTAAAACCAAAAGGATCAACAGGTGGTGTTCAACAACCAGCTACAGCACTTATTACATTTTTAACATTAGCACATCTTATTGGACAAGAACAAGATGAATTTAAAAAACAAAATAAAGAAATTATATTTGTAACACTTGATGGTGATGCATTAGATTATTCAGCTTCATTTAAATTTATGTTTGATATGATTAATGGATATTTTCCAATTGGTAATAAAAATGAACAACCTATTAAAATAGAACATATTCATTCAATTATTGAATTTCAATCATTAAGTATGACAAATGAACTTTGGGTAAGTAAAACATATTTTTTGTCATTCTCTTTTGTACTTCGAGCATATCAAAAAATAATGAAATTTTCAAGAAAAATAAAATATAGAAACAAGTTATTTCAGATTTAAAGATTCACAATAGTTACGATACGGTACACGAAGTATGAGTTGTTGTGATCAGTTAAATTCTGTTTCATCAATTCACATAGTGCCAGATGTGGAAAATTCGGTGGTTGTCGAATGATTATGATACCTTACGACTAGAGGTATATTTAGTTACGTACATGTGGTTTGCCATTGTCATAATGAAGCTTTATGGCATGCGTACTAGATGTTGGTAGAATTTCCTCGATAAAAAAAAAAACTCCAAGCAATTATCGATGTGGTAGTGATAATCAACCAGATGAATTGACAGAGAACCAGTAGTTGTGGCAAAGATATAGAAGAAAGTTTTTTGATAAAAGTGAGCGCATCGCATCATGCTAAGCAGAGTTTCTCCAGTTGGTGTCCAAGCAGCATTCGATGATTTTCGATCAACTTTTCTTGACAAAGTCCAATCCGTTCGACTCGGTGAGTATCAGTCAGCAATTTGGGTACTCAAAGGTTATATTTCATCAATTGTAAGATGAATAATCATCATAAATAAGGTAGCAAGCTTCTTCAATATTCTCAGATGTTGTATCGGTTATTATAAGATGAGTGTAGGTATGTCTCTTCCTTTCGACCGTATCCTCACCCACATCCGCATCATTGAACAGCTGTATAAAATTGTACATAAGAAAGCTTTTTTTTTTATGAGCACTTTCGACTGATATCAAGGACGATAATGATCAGTAACTGATCATGCTTTCATTTTTTTTCTATCATTTTCTTTAATAGTATTTCATATTCAAGACATATATATATATAATGAACCGCAAAAGTTTAAGACACTTTTATTTTTGAAGGTTTTCATCGAAGATGAGTAGCTAGGTCAAATTCAAATAGCGATTTGGATAGCTTTTGAAATTCCCTATCGAATAGAATATGTGTTAAATTTTCAAAAGAAACTTTGTAAAGAGAATTTTCCAGAAAGCCGTGCTAGGGAAATTTCAAGTCCTAGAAGATTTTGACAGAAAGATTTTTCAATATAAGCATCTGAAAGAGTAGAAAATTGTGAACAAAATGAAGTATCACTCAGCTCTGTACGATATTCCGTCACAAAGCTATAAGCGTTAGAAAAAATGCGATTTTAATCAGATTTTAGGGCTTTTTTTTGATAAAAATCGACGAAAAACCGTGTTTTTTTCATTTTTTCTAATCCTTATAACTTTGACGGAATATCGTACAGAGCTGGGCGACTCTTCATTTTGTTCACAATTTTCTACTCTTTCAGATGCTTATATTGAAAAGACTTTCTGTGAAACTCTTCTAGGACTTGAAATTTCCCCAGCACGGCTTTCTGGAAAATTCTCTTCACAAAGTTTCTTTTGAAAATTTGACACATTTTCTATTCGACAGGGAATTTCAAGAGCTATTCAAATCACTATTTGAATTTGACCTAGCTACTCATCTTCGATGAAAAACTTCAAAAATAAAAGTGTCTTAAACTTTTACGGTTCACTTTATATAGCACTCGACCTCTACTATACAAGCATATAGTCGAATTAAATTAATATTGTGTAGTTTAAGCTTCCTGCACTTTGATATAATATCAATTTCGATACTTTTGATATGCTTTAAGTATATGATGATTGTAAAACTTTTTTTTTTTATTTAATTTCAGCTTCATACACATCCATCATCATTGATCAATCAAACATTTATCGATATACTACTTCGTAATAATCCAATGATCAATTTAATCCGACCTAATTCTCCATTACCACCAGCATCTTCACAAATTTTTCTTCGACAAACATTATCATTATCTTTTCCTGTTTACATATTATCATCAACAAATCAAAATCAATTATTAAATCATTATTATCATTCATTTTTTGATGATCCTTCTACATTATCAATTAATATATCTACATTAGAATATAATACTACTACAGAAATTAGTCTATGGATTAAACGTATTGTTGAACCATTTGCTCAAACATTAATTGAATCATTAGTTGGTATAAAGAAAAATGTTATTATTAAACAAGAAATTATTAATAATTTAGTTTATTGTATTTTAAAAAATATTAATTGTCCTTTAATTCATAATGTTACTAATCAATCTGTTGGTAATACATTTAAACCATTCGATCAAACATCTATGCCATTTTCAATTAATACTTATCCAATATCAACAACACCGACATTTCCTTTTATAAAATATGTACTTGGTTATTTTTTACGTGATCGTTCATATGATATACAAAATTTAACTAAAATATCATGTAAAGAACATGCATATAATGATAGTTTTTGTTCATATACATTTGTTGATGGATATGCACCATCAATAATTAATGAGAAATCATTTTCTGGTTATTGTGTACGATCATATCTACGATTTGTACAATCAATTTCACCAGCATTTATTATTGAAAATTATGATTTATCTCAAACAACGTATCCAGCATGGACTGAAAGTCGATGGACAACAATTAGTTTACGACTTTTTATTATTCCAACAAGGACACATGAAATAGTGACACTTATTATTGGTATTTTACTTACTTTTATTTCATTTTGTATTCTTTTCTTTTTACGTTATTATACAAAGATTAGTCTTTTTCAACCTTCATCATCATGAATGATTGATTGATTGATTCTCAGTCTAGTCAGTATATCTAAACAATTTTGTTGTAATGTCTGTTCATAATCTCTTTTTTTTTTTGATGATCAAAATATATCATTATTTATCTATTGTGTATAATTGTTATAAATAAAATGTAGCAATGTTTACATTCAAAACTATTATCTATCAAAACAAGACAAATCTTTGCTACATAGAATGATATAAGCATTAGTATTTGAATTATCTAGAAGCATTTTTCTATAGGAGGTATCCTCAGTTGTATTTACTCTTCTGTTGAACCGACAGAATTCTCGGATGGCGATTTTGCAATGTCTAGCTCAGGGTACCCGTCACGGTCTGTGAGAGACACGGACTGGAATGAGTCAAAATTTCTACCTCTATACTTCAACATTCCTTTTAGATTGTGTTTCACAAAACAACATTAATATCATCATCATGTTGATTAGTATAACAATTAAATATAAAAAGTTTTTTTTTTGAACAAGCAACCATTTTGAAGGAAATGAAGATTTTTCGAAAAAAATCTTTTATTCATAAATAAAATATTTAATTATTCCATTAAATTCAGCCGTAAAAATAAATATTGATATCTACTAAAATGAATTCTGATAACGTCAGCAAAGAAACAGTTGAAATTCTTAATATTTCATAGGATCTGATGAGGATGAATTCAACCTGTAGATGTATACCATTTCTACTTTTGATAGACTGAATCAATATACTATTATCTACTAGGAAAAAAAAAGTATATGTGAAACAAGCAGATTTTTTTCTACAAAAATTTTGCAAATTAAATGTCTGGGGGAAGGAGGAAAGAATTCAAAATGTGATAAATAGGAAAAAACGACTAATTAAAGATGCTGGAATATATTTAAAGTCACTGCGTTTAACATGAGCAAATATATTGAAAATCTTCATGAACAGTAACATCAATTATTTTTGCATCAATAGCAACTTCTATACATAATTTAATTGTTGATAATATTTCAATATTTCCTAATTCATTATTAATATCATCAGAAAATTTCGACATTCGAAAAATAGTAGTTCTTTTAGGATCGGAATCTAGAATACCTGTATGTAATAAAGAATTAATATCACTTTCGTTTTCTGATTCATCAATAATTAATTTAGAGTAACTATAAAATTGTTGACGTTTTGAATCATATTTCATTGAATCTTGAAGAGTAGTTGGAATATCAAAATGAAGTTTTTGTTGTTGTGTTTCTATTGGTAAATAAAAATTAGGAGATTCTTCGTTCATAGCTTCAAAAAAAGATTTCGACAAATCCTGCAAATTCTTTTTGTTTTATTCCATACAAATTATCTTGAATATAGCGTAATTCTCTTATCGTATAAATAAAATCTCGATCATGAAAAATTGGAGGAATACTTGCACAAGAAACTATTCGACAATAACCTTGGGAAAGACCATATATGAGAATATGAGTATGGGCGAGAGTGTGGATGCAGTAGAAGAGAACAACTCTAAACACCAATACATCCATCTACACTCCACATCGACGGAGACACTCATACCTACACCTACACACACACATCCTCATTCAACTCAAGAACAGCAACATTATGTATTCACCTGTCGAAGTAAATCGTGATCATAATGAGATTCTGTTTGTAGTCGTATAAGACCCCCTGAAAAAAGTCGCTTTTCGTCAGAATCATCGAAATTGAGATAAATTCATAGAGAAATAGCCCATCATCTGCTCTTTCATACACGACAAAAATTTTTATTCTGCACCTCTTTTTTTTCCAAAAATTTTGGAAGACTTTCATCACCCCCTATTCGAAGGGCAAACCGTTTTTACAAAAAACCGAAAATCATTTTTCGTTTTTCTCAGAACGTGAGTTCAACGACGTAGTGCCACCAGAACTCTATCATAGTAAAAGATAAAGTCAAATATTTTTCTTTTCGTTTGAAGGCTTATGTCTAGGGCTAGCTCCCCTCATGACCCTTGTTTTTAAAAAAGCCTTTTTATTGTCATATAAGAAAACACCTCTATGAAAATAGCGCCATTTCTTTAAGGAGTTTTTTGAGTCATTAAACTTGCCATCCCTTTTCTTCGCTTAAAAAGTAAAAGTTTAGAAAAAGGGTCACGAGAGGGGCTAGACTAGACACAAACTTTCAAAAAAAAAAAAAATTATATATATAAAATGAAGGCCGACAGAGAAATCTTGAAGATACGATAGAGCTATTTTTGACCCTCGTTTGGTACATATCTCTGTCAAACATCATGATATAGAGCTGAAAATTTTACCATAGCCATCCCACTCCAGTCCCAACATATCCTGAAACTTTCATGCAATTTGGATGTTCCTGGACTGAGATCGATTTTTGAGATGGTGGCCTTAACATAACGCAAATCACTTTTTGATTAAGTTTATCGCTATATGCTTCTCGTATCTCGTGTTTCATTTGATTTTGAGCTGATTATTGATAAAAACTTATCACGAGATAATAAGAAAGCATTATAAATTATACAATTTATACTATGAATTGACAATCACCATCATCTTATTGTTTCTTCTTCTACATTCAATCTTTTACTGTTGATCAACCCTCTAGGTCTTGTCTACACTAAAAAAGTAAATGCTGAATTGAGAAATGTGTTTAGTCAAAAAGTTAATTCAGATTTAATGCACCAATCAAGAAAGAACTTGATCCACCAAATTGAAATGATGTATGCCCCTTGATGAAGTCGCTTTATATCCTCGATAGATAGATATTTTCAATATGATGACTTATAAAATATAAGTGAATGGGAATTGAAGCAGAAGAATAAACACTACTACAATATTTCAGAAATTTCTAATTGAAAGAAATAAACTAGAACGATAGATATTTTATTAAGAAATTTCATTAGTTAGTTATTAATTATCAAAGAGAGAGACAGAAGTGGCATTGTGTCACGTGAATACGTGCTAGAATTATGTACTTCGATGAGATTATAGTGATCATTTCTCAATTCTGATTTGTGCATTAAATTCATAAGTATAGAAACATGTATATTTAATTCGAAATAAATACTGAATTATTTTCCTAGTGTAGACAAAAACATAATCTTGCAGTTATTAGTGACTAACACAAGTGTATCTTGTAGAACGAGTGGGTAATAAAGAATATGATGACCACATAATTTTTCATTTTTACTCAGCAGACATTATCATTTATTGAAAGTTATATATATTTTTTTCATGGATAGTTCCAGATTGAATTCTAATTTTTCTTTTAGATATAATCAGTTATGTGATAAAGAATAAACAAAGGAAATAAAAAAGTTTTTTTCTATATTTTAGATCTTCAAACGTTCATCTTCTTGATCTGCAAGTAAATTCTTTTAATGTTCTTTGATTTGTCACCAAAGAGACACTAGATAAGTTTTTTTTTTCTATATTTTTAATTATTCCACATACATCTTGCCTATGTAAATGAAATTTTTTTCGTTGTACTCTGCTGTTCGCGACACATTTAATTTCACTCGACTATGAAAAGCTATGTGAGAATCCTTCGAATTATTGACCATCGCGAAATCAATCAAGTTCCCTGGGGTAATTTGGATCAGAAATCCACAAGTTCATTTTGTTTTTGTTCATTCTCATTGATTTGCATTATAATAAGATGACTTTTATATCACAACTAGTTCAAAGTGTCTTCTATCGGCTAACGAAACAATTTTTCAAAAATTCTATAATAAGAAATGCTGTTTGAAAAGAAATGGCAAACGTTCAATTGAGTTGATCCGAATCATTCCAGCAAAAAACAGTCACATCATTTCTATGAATTGTCATTTTTCTGCTGATAAAATATGTATATAAATAAAGTCTAAATGAAGCATTTTTCTGATGGGAAAAATGATTCGAATATTTTTTCTATGCATTTTTTCCATCAGAAATCATATTTTTCCTATGGATTTTTATTTTTTGGACTTTTTTATTGTTTCATTTTCATAAATGAGTCTTTTAAGAAGGAACATTTTTGACCTGAATGATTAGATTCCACTTAAAATTTTCATTTATCTCATCGTTCGAAAAGTTGTCCAACCCTCATTTGTAATCAGATCTTAAAGCTCTATCAAACATATATAAATCAAAGTAAAATCCACGAGTATATTGCGACATGTGCATCTTAATTCATGTGAACAAACATTAGTAAAGGTAGATCTGTGCTTATCTACCAAAGTGCATGCTGCTTTCACATTCCCTAATAATTTTATATAATAATTTTCATCTATATAATACATAATCTGTTTCTACCTATAATAATATCAACAACCAAAAGAATAATTCTTAATTTTACATAGATTAATTATATAATGTCGAGATTATCGCATATCTAACAGCATCTCAGAGAATTTCTCTTTCAAATATAGGAAAAGACTATTTTTTAATGTTATTTTCATTTTTACTTCTCATGTAATAATGGGACATTTTATCATCAGATACTGTTTCATATAGAGCCTTAGAAAAAAAATCATCAAACTAATCGAATAGGAATTCTTATTACCATTTGTGTAGAGAATTTCACAGTGCGCCTTTTGACTAAAAGTTCCAGATTATACAATTCATTTATGCTGAAATATTTATAAAATACTTGATGTTGCAATCATTTTGGTTCACCCAATATTTTGATTACTTCAGAGGATGCTAAGTACTGAAACTTCTGAAATAATGAGAAATTTGCTTTTGATTGAAATTGAAGAGTTCTAGAGAAGCCAAATTTGAATAATCAACAACAAGAAGAATACATTTCATAGATGTTGTTTCTAGAATGAGTTTCTTGATACAGTGATGAGTTCAAGAGAATATATATAAGTATAAAATCGATCAAGTTCATTATCAGTAATTGATGATCTTCTTATATACGATTTTCATACAATCTCATGCTTTGATAGAAGATCATAATGTAAGTTTTAACTTGGTCTTACAGAAATCGTAAAAAACCCTATGAGCAGATTCTTTGACCTAAGAAGTTATTGAGAAATCATTTCAATGAATTGATTAGAATGATTTCTTCTAATTGTTTACTTTTTTCGTCATTTTATAATCCTCAGTGTCTTCGAATACTCATTGGGCGAAATCAGAGAAATATTTTTGCCTAATCTATTCTCATATCGTTATTTCATTTTTCTTTTTGTCTTGAAGGATTTATTAAGAAAATTATATTGAATTTATCTAGTTTCACTGCTTTTGTGACTAGCTATGGTCCCATTGTTGAGATAGCCAATCGAGAATCTCATTGATAGTCAAACTTCAGATACATTGATGATGATCAAAGACAGTTTCAGATCAGCCTGTAGTTGATAGTTAAGAAGTCTTACATATAAAGGTCATGTGCATTCAGTAACTGGAAAATTATTAATAATTTTCGCATATATCTTTCATAAACATATAGGATTATTAGCAATGGCGATGATCCTCTCTATATAGTCTTTTACTAACCCTCGATGCAATTGATGCTACTGTTAGAATGCTCCATATATCATATAATAAATCCTTCAGATTTTTGATCAGATCGATAATCCCTTCAGACTATTTATAAAGTCAATAATTCCTACCATCCACTTTTTCATAAGTCATTCAAATGATTGATGAGGTTAATAATCTTCTTCATATATCTTATCACAAATCTTTCAGAGAATTGATGAAGTCAATAATTCCCTTCATACACCTTTTCATAAACTCTTAAATTGATTGTTGAAGTCAATATAACCCCTTATATACTTCTTCATAAACCTTTTCCATCATTGATAATGGTCATGAACGCTTCCAAATATCCTTTTGAAATGCTATACACGTGTATGATTTTTTTATCTACCCTCTCAGAAGTGATTTCGAAGAGTACTTGACAAAATTAACAATGCTCATGAACTCTTACTATGAGTTTATGAAACTTCAACATATGCCAAATCCTTTAATAATTTATAAATCTTATGAACCCTTTCATAAATCTTTCCAGATGGATATTTCCACTTCATCAATCCTATAACATTCTCTTTTCAAAATTTTTCTTGTAGTGTTTATGACCTTCTCAAAAACACAGAAGAGTTTTTATACGTCTCCTTTTTCATTCACACTTTTAAGGGATCACTATTCTCCAGTTTTTTTTACAGTGTACTTGTAACGCTTCCTGAGTAAATGAGGCTAGGAAATACTCTGCAGATTTGCAACGATCCATGCCTAAAAATCAGTATTTTTCAATTTGTACATAAATGGATTAAGCTATCGTTAGGTACTTTCGACCATTGA